CTGGTTGCCAAATACTAGCCACAAACATTTATCTGTCGTGACTCCGCATGCCGTGTGACAGATAGCGAGAACGTGCTCGCTGCCGTTGACCGCTGGTTTAATCCATTCGCCGCACCGAGGGGTTTTCCGAAAACATGACACTGCACATTTACACTACACCGGGATTAAACCACACCAAACGAAAACGACATATGTTGCCTTTCAGTATACGTTTATCACGTCTATACTATATTAATTAACATTTATGAAACGTTTCAGTCACGTACGCAAGTTGGAATAGTTGCTACGCAGATTTTGCGTTCTAAACAAACAACGTCACATCCACCAGAATTCTTAATATTATTCTGATCTTTTAACTTTATTTTTCTTTATAAAATGAGTGTGTTTTATGTGGCTAATTCTTTCTTTTATATCACACCACCAGGTCTTGTATCAGGAGAACTCTTGTTTCTCTCATGGTTTCCAGGAGATGACTTCAATGGCAGTGGATGCAGCTCTTTGGATGATGGTGTTGGGGTGTGTTAGTCTGGTATTCAGCAGAGGCACATGCTCCAGCAGCTCTGCCCGGGCCCTAGGAACCTCTGCCAGGACTGTAAGGGCACGGAGGGCATTGACACACACCGCTGTATTCTCACTCACCACCAGCTGCAGCAGAGGGGCGATGGCACCTGCGTTCAGAGCCTCAGTCTTACCTGGAAACAGACAGACAATGAGATCTTGCCTAGTCTAATCTAATATAGGGGTTTTCAAAGTGGGGTCCAGGACCCCCAAAGGGCGACAAGGGAGTGCTAAGGGGTGAGAGGGAAAGTGCAGAGAAAAAAAATTGTGTAAAAAAGTGTATTTAAATAATACTTAATTATGTAATACATAAGAATAATAATTAATTGATAACTTGTAAGAAATAAAAAATTATCAAATAAAATCTACAGATTCTGATATAATGTTGCCTATTGTAAAGGTTCTTTTAAAACACCTAAGAAACACTTCAATGTCGGATGATGGTCTTGATGCTGGTCAAAACATCAGTTTTAAAGAAATTAAGTAGACCAGGGTTATTATAGTTTTACAAATTAACTTTAACCTAAACTTTAACTCAAATAAAATGAAATATTAAAAAATGCGAAAATTATTTTATTTCAGCTAGTTGCCAAGGCAACGTGTTATTTTCATTTAGTTCAACTTAATGTTCTAAAATAATTCAAACTGAAAAAAAGAATACAAATTATACAGGCATATTTAAAAAAAATTATAAACATGAAAAAACTCACAAAATATATTAAAACTTTACAAATAAAATAAAATAAATAAAAATGAATTCTAATTATTATTAAAAACTATAATAGTATCTCATGATACTAAAATAACATTGTTGTAAAGTGAGTGTTGCCAGTTTTTCTACATTTTCTAATTTTTACATTTTTTGAGTTGAATCTCCTCTACTGTTCAGGATGAGCACCTAATTTTCAATTTCTGTTTTTCATTTTTGTCGTTATACTTGAAAATATCTAGCTGCCTTTAGGGGGTCCCTTCTTGCGAGGTGACCAATCATATTTGTAGGTCCATGGCATCAAAAAGTCTGAAAACCCCAGATCTAATGTATGTGCATATAACTAACATCAACCCCATCTAGAGGTTTTAAACGGGTAGTTCACCCCAAAATGTAAATTCTCTCATCATTTATTCACCCTCATGACTCTGTATGACTTTCTTTCTTCTTTATAACAGAAAAGACCATATTTTGAAGAATGTAGGCAAAAATTGGTAACGAAAACATCTACATTTATGTTCCACAAAATAAAAAAAGTCATCCAGGTTTGGAGCGACATGAGAGCGAATAAATGACTAAATTATCATTTTTGGGTGAACTGTCCCTTTAATCTTTACATACAGCACTATAATAGATGCTGAAAAGTTTCTGACTTCACCATCAACTCATAAATTACAAAAATGCACGCTGAAACTTGATTTTGTGCTGACCCTTAGTGATAATGGCCGTGTTCATAATTGTTCCTGCAGCATTAGCAACAACTCCTTGCTCATCATCCGACAGCAGCTTGACTAATATGGGCAGAAGATTCTCCTCACACACCTTCATCTTCCCATCTGCAGGCACACTAAGAGAGGAAAGGAGAAAAATGCATGCTTTTTATTTTAAAATAATATCTGCTCTGATCTCTCACCCTAGTGAACTTAACCTGATCTAGACTGTTGTGTGCTATGCTACCTACCTGATTCCCACTAAAGCAGATGTGGCTGCCTGGCGGATGGCATGGGAGGGGTGAGACAGCTGATCTCTCAGGACAGGAACCGCATCACTCTCCAGCGCAGGAAGGGCGTTCACACTCACACAGCAGCTCAGTGTGGAGAGAATTAAAGCACGGATGCTCTCTTCTTCATCTGAGACCTTCAGCACCAGTTTGGGCACCAGCCCCATAGACACCATGAACACTGCTCCTGTAGGGACATAACAGAGGACTCATCAAAAGAAAAGCTTCTGAAACACATTTTCTGTATAAGTAGTATAAGATTAGTCACCTGATGGAAATTCAGCGATCCTGTTGAGTGCTTGGTGCACGTTTTTACGACAGGCATTCACAGGGTCCTCAATCAGGTTTGCGAGGGGACCCACAATGTCAAATTTCAAAAAGGCATCTCTGTGTGAACAAACATATCTATATACTGAATATTTTTGGAAGCCAAAAGTCAAAATGGCAAAAATCACTTCTCTTGCAGGTATTTTAGTGTTGTTTAAAAATATCCCCTCCATATTAAATATAAAATTTTCAAAGTATCTAAAATGCTCTAAAATATTCTTTGGGCAAAAAAGACCATTTTTCTTACTGGAAACAACAAACTTTACATGTTTGAAAGCATCAAGACCGTGTTAAACCCCCCCACAAAAATACAGTAAAAACAGTAATACTGTGGAATGTTTTTGCACTGTTTTCCATTTAAAAATTTCATTTATTGCTGCAAAGATAAAGCTGAATTTTCAGTATCATTACTCCAGTCTTTAGTGTCACATGATTCTTCAGAAATAAGCTGATTTGCAGCTCAAGAAACATTTCTTATTATTATCACTGTTGAAAACAGTGTTCGCTGCTCAATATGTTTGTGGAAACTGTAACACATTTTTTTCACATTATAAAATATCATTTTAATGCATCCTTATTGGAAAAAAGTATTTATCTATAAAAAAATCTTTTAAACTTTAGTCTAATTATATTTTCAGCTTGCATATTTTCTTTTTATAAAAAATATATAAATTTAAATATTACAAGTGTATTTTATAAATATATTTTTATATAAAATAAATATACCTAAATAAATATATTCATTTTTGTTAAGCATTGTTAAGGTTTAACTAACTCCACATACTGTCTCCATATACTCAATATGTGAAATATACTGACATAATTCGACATAAATAACACATAGCCTACTATGCGGGGCCAAGCACATTCACATGCCAAAAGCTTACACAAACTAAAACTGTCAGCCCTTGATTTCTTGCATGACTCACCTTCCCAAGCTGTGTGAAGCAAGCACATAAAGCACTTCAGTGGTTTTGACCCTGACTAATTCATCTTCATCTTGCAGCAAAACTTTAAGTCTTTCCATACACCCTTTGAGGAACAGAAAGAAACAGTTTGACTAAAAACAAAGACTGTAAAAAAATTCAGCATTTACTTTGTTTCTTAGGATGGACAATAGGGTTTCTTAAAGGGATAGTTCACCCAAAAATGAAAATTCTGTCATTATTAATTACCATCATGTCGTTTTAAACCCGTAAGACCTTCGTTCATCTTCAGGACACAAATTAAGATATTTTTGATGAAATTTTGAAGGAAACCCTCCCATAGACAGCAAGGTTACTATACCACGAGCAAGGCACAGAAACGCATTGTTTACATGAACCGGAAGCAAGCGCATGTGTTGTGATACTCTCTCCACAATGGCAGCGCATTACAGATTTAATCAAAAATATCTTAATTTGTGTTCCGAAGATGAATAAAGGTCTTACGGTTTTGGAACGACATGAGGGTGAGTACTTAATGACATCATTTCAATTTTTTTGGGTGAACTATCCCTTTAAGGACGAGTTTACCGCTGAGAATGGCTTCATAGGCCCGCTCATGGTCGTGGACGAGGTCGCAGAGTGCAGCGAGCGCCCTCTGCCGGGTGAACAGCTCCGCGTCCTGCAGCTCCAGCATCAGCTTCGGGATCGCCCAGCTACCGAAAGCCACCGGCGCCTGTGTGGGGTCAATATGCGGCGGGGGCTGCTCGGATGTTTGCGGACTTGCCATCTTCTTCGTTAGGGTGCTTCAAATGTGATTCCATTATGTATTTACATATTGAAAAGTTAGTTATTTTACTGACCGAGTCTCAAGTTTGTAGGATTTTTGAGGGTTCAACACGTCGTTTTACATTCTAAATGTGAATAAGTATTCCTAATACATTTGCACGAGCATTCAAAATCAGAATTTGCAGACCTACAAATTGTTAAAGACAATAATACCGTATTCGCTGGTTTGTATGGTCCGCTGCTTGTAATTATTTCCGTCTATAGTTCGGTTGTTATGGTAACTCCGGAACTAACGCTACGCCGTTCTCAGGCAGTGACGTAACTCCGTAATTCCTTCAACAGCAGGACAGATAATACAGCACAGAAATTATTAAATTAAAGTCTTCAGTGTTCAAGACCTCTCTCGCGTTTATGGGAAAAAAGCACCTTTTGGCTTCACTGAACATTCTAAAGAGGATGAAAGTTGCTTTTAATTAAAGTACTTATTTGAATATATATTTCACATTCATACATGCAAATTTACTAATAAAGCCACCATTTTAATGTTTTTTTTTGGACTGAAGTAAGGCTGTACATAGACAGTATTAGAAATTATATCAAAAAAAGTTATAGGCAATTTAAATAGCAATAAAAGCTATATAATGAAGGTTTTAAACATTTATTTATTTATTTCTTCTTCTCTCCTTTCCCCCTTTTTCTGTTTTATTTTTATATGCATATAATTGTATATTGGTGAATATTTGCATTTGAATGAAAGGCCATGTATGTTAATCTTTACTCAGTTAATAAAAGCAAGAGAGATAATACTTCGTCAGGTATGTTCATTTTAATATGTTCATTTAAAATTTATTTGAATTGAATAAAACCATACAAATCAGTAAGATGGATCAAATACATTTCAAATGAACAAGCTGCACAAAGTTTCTGCTCCAAAAATATTAAAACCCACATTGATCCATATTTCTCCTGCCTGCTCGATTTTCATTGTGTCTCATGGCTGTTGTGTGTCTAGTGTCTGTAGCCGTATAATTTAATATGAAGGTCAATGAGTTGTCTGAGGAAGCCTCGGTTGGGAAAGACGCCTCTTCCCTCTTTTACCTTCTGGATCGCCTCCACCAGCGTCATGTTGTGTTTCAGCATCAGATATGCCAAAACTATAGTTGCTGATCGACTCACTCCAACATGACAGTGAACCAGGATTTTGCCTTCAATTAGAAGATAGAGTTTAATCACTCTCAGCTGCAGGAAGGAAGACTGGGTTAGTTTTTGGACACATGCTTACCTCCCTCTTTCAGCGCTGTATGTATAAATTCAGCAGCTTTGTTAAAGTTGGCACTCATGTCATACGTGGGTGAATCATATGCGTCTATGCCCATGTATGTGATGCCCATGCCATCATAGATCTCGCCGCCACGTCTGGAGCTGTGGGCGCAGTTCAGGACATGAGTGAAGCGATGCCTTCTGATCTCTGCACAGTTTTCCTCTGTAATTAATTTCCGTAATTCATTCTACGTCCTTAATTATTGCCTCTTTCTCAAGTATTATGTAAATACATATGCATATCTCTTTATTTATACAGTTCTATATAGAGTAAATGATGCACAAATCTGTACATAAATCTACTGTTCCGGATTCATACACATTTATTGTTAAGTTTTACTATTTAAATGTTTTTTTGTTTTGTTTTTTCTGTTCTCATGTCAGATGTGTATGTATGTATGTATGCATGTATGTATGTACCAGGAGCACCTTAAAAAACCACAACAAATTCCTCGTGTGTTTGCACACCTGGTGAATAAAGCTAATTCTGATTCTGATTATTAGTAGACAGTGTTGGGAAGGTTACATTGGAAATGTAATAGGTTACATATTACAAGTTACCCTATTTAAAATGTAATAAGTAGTGTAAGTATTTCAAGTACTTTATTAAAGTAATGTAACTGATTACAATTGATTACTTTTTGATTCATTTTCTAAATTTCCAACAAATGTTTTCAACTGATAATCATTTTCACACGTTTAAACCAGGCAGGGTTAACCTTCAGAATCTTTCATCATTTCAATTAAGATTATAATCATTTATTTTAAAAGCACAGCCACCACAAAATCAGACTTTAACACCTCTTTTCACTTTGAAATCATTCTGAGGTTAAATACAGATTTAAAATCATAACAAGAAATAGTTTAATAGCTATAAAACGGTTTTTGAAATCAGTTCTTTGCATACAGGAAACACTGGCATCTAACAGTTCATCTTAAAAAAATAAAATAAAGCATAGACATAAACCCAAATAGGAAATAAAACAATTATTGAATAAATGTGTTTTATTCTGTGTCCTAAACTCCTGAAACATTTGTGTCTCAAAGCAGTCAATGCAATTTGGGAAAGAAATCAATTAAATCTGTATGCGAGTAAAAAATAAATAAATTAAAAAAATTCAGATGTAACCCCCTTTGTAATCTTTAAAATGTTTATAAGTAACTGTAATTTAATTACACATTTTTTTCTCAGTAACTGATTACAGTTACATTTATTTTGTAATTAAATTATGTAATTCCGTTAACGTTTCATGTATCTAGTTACTCCCCAACACTGTTAGTAGATGCTCTGTTCTTGTTAGTAGAACTGACTGCGTTGTTTACATATCACAATTTTGAAGTGTTTGATCATCTAAAATATTCTTTGGGTTGAAAAGACTTGTTAGTTATTATCAGTGTTGGGGAAAGTTACCTTTAAAAGTAACGCATTACAATATTGCGTTACTCCGTAAAAAAGTAACGAATTACGTTACTTAGTTACTTTGTATGGAAAGTAATGCGTTACGTTACTTCTGCGTTACTTTTTAAATCTGGACAGGGCTTGCTTGTTTGTTTTTAACGTAACTCGCGTTACTTGTAATGCGTTACCCCCAACACTGGTTATTATTAGCAAAGTCCCTTTCAATATATAGTATTTCTATAGTCTTTGTTATTAGTCATTTCTAGAGAAACAGTTCCCTCTTGTGTTCAACAACATGCATTAGGAACAGCAGCAACTCGTGCAGATAACTACGTAACTTTACTAATAAGCATTAAAAATACGTTTTGTACCAAAAAGGTGTAATTTTTACGCATATGTAAGCTATAATTACGAATGAATTAGGAAAAGCTGCAGTGTGCTTACATGTTGCCGATGTACAGACTGGGCCAGACTTCATCCGCGTTAGAGATGACGGCTCTTCCAGAGACCAGAAGACGTTCGACCTCCATCACCGCTAAACCGGGAGAGGTGAAGTCAACCACCGCTTGAGTTGAACGTGAGGTACCGTCTGAATACTTCGACCTGTAAGACATTTTAAAGTGTAAATGGGCATTTGGTGTCCACTGCTTTCGGTAATATTGCAATAACACTGTATCAGGTCCGTCTGTTAGAGTTATTCAGACTGTCAGTTCATAGTGTGCGTGAATGAAAGCCGTGTTTTGGATGCCAGTGCAGGGGTTATTTTAGGAATAGGGAGTCTCTTGGCTCTGATCATTTACACATGCAATGTGATACATACTGGGATCTGCTCGATGATTTACAGACAGTTTGCTTTAATCTACGGGTCATTTCTCACCGGCCTTGTACTTTTGTTGATAATACAACATAAATAACACCTTTTAAGGCGATGCAGTAAATATATAACTGTAAATTTAACATAAATTGACATGAATTAGTGAATTATGATTTCTAGGTTGTCAGTTAGGTGTTGGCCACTAAAAAAAAAAATGTTGTTTTATATTATACTTTATTTCAGTAATATAAAGTAAAATTGTGAAAATTCTGACTTACATTTTTTAAATGTTCACCTTTCAAACTTATGGCGTTATTGTAGCCTAATATTTGAATCTATACCACTTATCAGTTACGTATACTGGATTGTTATTGGTGCTCTTACATACAATTATTTAAATACTGAATTGTGATTGGACTTCTTACTTACATTATTTACATACTGCATTGTGATTGGCCTTCCAGTTCCGTACTCACTGGAGCAGTTTTTAACGGCTCTGGTACGTACATAATAATCAATCAGAATGCAGCAAGTCGGACTCGGTGAAATGGTAAAGATGCGGTCAGGTTACGAAATTTTGTGGGCAAAAAGGTCTATTGATGTATGTAGAGCAACTCAGACAGGAAAATCACTTTAAAACCAAGCAGCTTTCTGCTGGTCCCCGCTACAAATAGCCTATGTTTGAAACATGAATCTTTCGCCCCGTACAATACTAAATGTGACCGCATTTACACAAAACCAAAGCATAAGTCTTTGTATAACTTGGCATTTCTTTCATAAATTGCAAGTATAATTGTTTTGATTGTTATGTTTTGAGCATATTAGGATTCAACAATAAATGAAAACTTAAATGATACATTATATATTTTTTCTGTTCTTTATTGGAAAGGACGGAGTATCTTATGGTTTGCAAATGGGCTATTACAGTGAAGCGACTAATGTAAATAAATTCATATATTGTCTACAGAAATATGTCCTGAGCCGATGACACAATCTGTTGAATTGAATGTCTTGATTTTTAATACGAGACCCTACAGTCAGTTGACCTTTATTCAGTCCTACAACATGATAGAGAAACAGTCCCCGCTTGTGTTCAAAAACATGCATTACATTTACATGGGGACTTCAGCAGGCAGGTTTTTGGTCCTTGCTTGGGATTTGTGTTTTCAATATATTCGTTATACAAATATACGTTTCTTTTTTTCTGTAAAGATTAATCTAATAAACAATTTCAGGTATACATAAGAGAAAATGTACAGAAAGAGAGCGAGCGAAAACACATACAGTAAAGATAAACGTGGAATCCGAGACTTCATGCAGAGCTCAGTTGATTTGCAGTTTTTTTGTATTTGAGATACTTCTCTGTTGTGGTATGAAAAAGCACCTGCTGATATTATGGCACTGTTTTTCCTGGTTACAAAACAGACATAAAATCTGTGTGGTAGGAGGAAGACCTGTTGAACGGTCCATGATGTCAGTCAGTGACTTTTGTGCAAAGTATTAAATGTAGTGAAGTTAAAGGGAACTTTTATTCCATGAAGAAGTGCTGATGTTCTGTCCATAATCCGCATCCCTGCTCCAGTCCTTCAGATATAAACTGTACATTATTTCTTTGTCTTTTTAAAAAAGGCCTCCTGTTTGACTGTATACAGGCCCGCAGATGGCTACTGCCACCTGAACACTGACGCAGATGCATTGAATCAGCTACAGATCAGTAGTCACACAAACAAAGGAAACAAACAATAGCCAAAAGTCCTCCGAACTGCAGGATGTAAACAAATGTACTAAAAAAATGAACTGAGATGCAGGTGCACAATCAAAGGAAGTGACCACAGCAGATGAAGTGTAGGCTTCATTGATCATTAAAGACTATGTCCAGTGGTTTGATGAATGCAATTTTTTTATAACGAAGTTGGGGCAAAACATATCAAAGAGTTTGTCTTTTTATAAAATAGCCTAGTATACATCGCAGCCTTGGAAAACCATGATTTGCTTGCTACTCTCTATTGCTTGTTAGAGGCAAGTGGTACTGAAGGTTCGTCAACTTTTAATAGTATACTAGCATGAAGATGGTCTCAAAAGCTAACAAATATGGTCTAAAATCCACAAAATACCATTTCTTAATTTAAGGGGTCTTTAAAATCCAGATGAGGCCTGGAAAAATTGTAATGAAACATGAACTATGGATCCAATTGCAGTGTGAGAGTTGGTCTGAGATCCATCCAAGATGTGGGTTTGTAATGAGACAGAACCATGATATGAATCAAAAACTGGCATGTGTAATCACTTAAGGTCCAGTCACATTTACGGTTATGAAATTTTGCCAGCGAAATCCAATAATTTCAATAGGAATTTTGTGTAATGGCAATTTGTCACTAATCAACAGAGAGCTGCTTGGTTTGAAAGTGACTCGTGTGAGCAGTGTTTCGTGCATTGCATGCATTGGAGAATGGACCTTTTTGATGCTGAAATTTGGCTAATTTCCATGAGGAAGGTGACTGAATGAAACTGGTGATAAAACTAATAGACAATACAACAGAAAATGGGTGAAATTAAATGGAGTGAGTTACAAAAAACTGACCTTCTTTTATTTATAAATCAAGATATTTTACAATAAAATCAAGAATGTATTGGTGTAATAGCAGTGCTTAACAACATTCCAAGTGTAAAAGGCTCTGATCTTGAAAAGTTGTGCTACCAAAAACCAATGGAAGTATTAAAATGTGGTTGAATTAGCTCTGTTTTATCCTTTCAGGATCCTTTTTATCCTTTTTATCCTTTTTTTTTATCCTAGACTCAAGAAAAAAAAAAAAACGAAAGTCTTAAGATGGTGTTATGCAATGAGACTTATGTTTAATTCTGAGCAGATGTCAGACTGCTGCTCTTTGCTGGATGTCAGAAGGCTGGTTTGAGTATGGCACTGCAATGATTAGGACATTTTGCGCCTGTATTTCAACTAATACATTACCATCAGTAGGGTACGCGACCCCAAAACACCACAGAGTTAATGCTGGCAAACTAACTGGCAACTGTGAAAATCCTAATCTGTTATCATGAGAAGATACCATTAAAAAGAAAGAAAAAAAAGAACAACCAGAACCATCATAATCAATCCACCCTGTTATTAGAAAGCCTTTTTCTCAAGGTGGTCCAAGATGGCCTGGATCCTCTGGACGGCATCTTTGCGAGCCTGTCGAACGACGTCCTGCCCGTTGGTCTCCACCGAGTCCAATTCCAGCAGCTCTTTTGTCAAAAGTTCCTCCAGGCACCGGTAGCTCTTGTCCATCTTTTTCCCTACAAACTCATCCACGTCCTCTTGGAGGAGCTGAACTCTGGCCAGAACCTGCTGAACTCGAGCCAGGCTGGGATTATCGCTTAATGGGGCTGGAGTGGACGACCCTTGGCGGGAAGACGTTGGAGGTTGTTCATTCTGGGCTGGTTTGGGCTCGGGTCCTCCACATCCAGAGGGAGCCTTGTTGTAGATTTGAGGCGGAGCGCTGAACTGGGCGGCTTTGGGTGGAGTTGGAGTTGGGTTTGGAGTGCTGGCTCGTGGTTTGGAGCCTGGAGGCTGGTTTCGAGGGTGCATATGAAGCTGACTGTGATATGGTGGATCCTAAGAGAGAGATATTCATTTAGATAATAAAAAAGCTCTAAATATTACACAATATACCAATTCCAGTTTTGCATGTGTTAAATCCAAAGTATACTTGGTTTTTACAAGTAAGCTAAAATATATGTATAGTGCATGTGACAATTTTCATTACGAGCAAACTATAGGCCTATGCGTGTAACCCGATTTTTCGAGACATGCATACTTTATATGCTATTGATGAGAGAAACAAAGCTTTTCAAAGCTGTGAATCAACTGATTCGTAAAATTATTTACTGCTTTAAAGAACTTGAAACATTTTTTTTTTTACAAATCTTTTACAAACCAATTGCAAATGTTTTCATGAAAGTGTAATGTATTAAAGGTCACATATTTTACACCTTTCTGGAGTTTCTGTCCTTAAGAATATATATTTGCGGTATAAGTACCAAAAACCATCTCAATATATTTTTACAGCTAATCTCAAAAGCTCTGCTGAGAACAGGTCGATTTTGGCCTGTCTAATTAATATTCATGAGCCTCTCTTCTGATTGGCCTGT